TAAACAGTGCTGCGATGAACATTGGGGTACACGTGTCTCTTTCAGATCTGGTTTCCTCGGTGTGTATGCCCAGAAGTGGGATTGCTGGGTCATATGGCAGTTCTATTTCCAGCTTTTTAAGAAATCTCCACACTGGAGAAACGCTTTACTTTAAACCTCTTAGCCTGTTACGGTATCCAAGAAAGTATTTGGTTGGCCAAAAAGCTCGTTTGAATTTTTCCATATAAATAGGAATATTTTGTACCACTTAAAATTTAAAAGCTGTGATACACTAGTTTAAATCTCATGTCTACTAATTAATTATGAAATGCTTCAAGACTCTAATGCAAAGTTTCGAATGTAACAAGTAAAACTTGAATATGAATAATCAATATTTCAAAGTTTTAATAGTGCTCCTCCATGGACAGTGTGGAGTCAGCAAACAGGAGATTCACAGAAGTTTCACCCTAGAGGGACTCTACAAATCTTCCAGTCTGCTCTGCTTCGTTTATAGATGAGGAAACAAACATCCAGAGAGATGGTGCAATTTGCCAAAGGTCCCCCAACTGGTTATAGTGACAGTGCCATGCCTAGAAGCAAAGCCTGCACCCTCCTATCCAGACTTCATTTTTTCCCAGACTGACATTTCACTGTGAACAATTCATTGACAATTTATACGATATGTATAATTTCCTAAATAAGATTTAGCAATCCAACTCCAGATTTTCTTAAGGTTATTGAATTGCTCAAAGTAGCTAATAAAGACTAACATAAACTGAGGTCTTACTGTGCTTCCAGCCCTGTCCTCAGAGTTTATACTATCTCAATGCATTTTCCCAACAACCTTATGAGGCGGGTATCATTTTAGATGTAAATACTCTCAGGAACAGAGAGATAAATAGCTTGCGCAAGATCACACAGCCACTGTGCTATCTAACTGGGACTGCAGCCCTTGTCTGTCTGCTATTTATGGCTGTATTTTTAACCAGAATTTGAAACATTCTCCCTTCCTACTGTGCATTTCTGTTAGTCTATATGAAAGTGTACTGTTAATACTTAGTAATTTGTAGGTACTTGTAACTTCTCACATTTTTGTAAGAAGATTGAAAAATGTATCTCAGTGTGTTTCTTGCTTCTTTTATTAAATTGTCATTGATTTTCTATACCAAAAAAAAAAAAAAGACGTACATGAAATAGCATCTTGAGTCCATTGTATCTAGCAGTCCTGCCAGTTCTTATCTCCTCACTAGTAACAAACAACCCTTCAGTATCCTCCTTCTCACTGGAGGCAGAAGCCAAAGTTCTTACAAGCCACTGACAAGGCTGCTGGCAATCTGTACCTCCCCTCAACTCCCTGCCTATCTTTCCCTTCAGGACTACCTACTGTTCCCTCCACCTCTATGAGATAGTTACTCAAATATTACCTTACTGCTCAGGCTCCCCAGACTACCCCATTTATAACTGAAAAACTCCCCCAACCCCAGCACACCTTGCCCCTCTCCTGTTTGACATTTCCCGGCCGTACTTGTTCAGTTCAGTTCAGTCTCTCGGTCGTGTCCCACTCTTTGCGTCTATTTTAACTTATTGGCTAATTGTCCCTAAGAGAATGAAGGCATAATTACATAGTTCACTGCTGTATTCCTAGTGCTTAAGAGAAGGTGCTAAAAAATATTTGCTGGGTGAACTGTATGAAACACATCCAGGTATGTGCCTTTGTTTCAACTTCAAAATGTAAGCTACATATTCTGAGCACCCTAACTCTGTAATGCCCTGTCATAGATTTATTACCTATGGGCTATTCACTAATCATTTTTTTCTTTTTACTGTTGAAATTAATTTACCCTTTCTTCCACTCTGTATTCTTGGTGGTCTCCAGGATTTCAAAAAGGGGGAATATCAAATTTTTGACAGATCCCTCAGCAATTTAGAGAGAGTGATCTGTACTTTTACCTTTCTCTGTAGAACAGGACTATCATGACAGCATTAAAAACACAAGAAGAAAAACTATTAGGAAAGTGAAGTCACTATTTGTATTTTCAAGTGGTAAAATAAAATATTGCTTGTAAAAAGGACAAACAGCAAGATGATGGCTCTTTAAGCATTTGCTGTTGTTGTCTAGTTGATAACTCGTGTCTGATTCTTTGCGACCCCGTTTACTGTAGCCCCCAAGCCCCTCTGTCTATGGGATTTCCCAGGCAAGAACACTGGAGTGTGTTGCCATTTCCTTCTCCAGGGCATCTTCCCAACCCAGGGACTGAATCCCTGTGTGCTGCATTGGCAGGCTGGTTCTTTACCTCTGAGCCACCAGGAAAGCCCCGTTAAGCATTTATAAAAACAGTTTTTCTGTTGAATGTTGTCTCGGAAGGCCCAGGGTAATGAAAGAAGCCTGGGGTGGGAGGAGGACCTGGGTTCTTGGGCCATGTAATGAGCAGACTGAAGATGATCTTTGTGATACAAAGCTCTTGGAGACAAAGCCATGAAATTTTCTCACGCCCATTTAAAGTTATTCAGTTCAGTAGCTCAGTCGTGTCCTACTCTTTGCGACCCCATGGACTGCAGCACGCCAGGGCCCCCTGTCCATCACCAACTCCCGGAGTTTACCCAAACTCAAGTCCATTGAGTCAGTGATACCATCCAACCATCTCAACCTCTGTCATCCCCTTCTCCTCCTGAACTCAATCTTTCCCAGCATCAGGGTCTTCTCAAATGAGTTAGTTCTTTGCACCAGGTGGCTAAAGTATTGGAGTTTCAGCTTCAACATCAGTCCTTCCAATGAACACCCAGGACTGATCTCCTTTAGGATGGACTGGTTTGATCTCCTTGCAGTCCAAAGGACTCTCAAGAGTCTTCTCCAGCACCACAGTTAAAAAGCATCAATTCTTTGCGCTCAGCTTTCTTTATAGTCCAACTGTCATATCCATACGTGACTACTGGAAAAACCATAGCCTTGACTAGATGGACCTTTGTTGGCAAAGTAATGTCTCTGCTTTTTAATATGCTAAGTTGGTCATAACTTTTCTTCCAAGGAGTACCTAAAGTTATATTTCATGTTTATTTTTACAATTAATTTAACATACCAAGAATAATTGTTATAAATTGATATTTAGGTATATGAACTTTATTTTCACAATTTAGTTTTTCCCAGTTAAACAGAAATTGCTTTCATGTTGGTAACATTTAAACATGTAAGTCATATCTAAGGACACAAAAATGACCACCATAATTACCATATTTAATTCTGATTCATTGGGGGACTAATTACTTATTTTGTGAACATGGAAGCCCCCCTGTAATTCTTTTCCCATTTTGAACAAGGGCAAAGAACCTGAAAAGTTCAAATTTCAGTTTGTCACTTGTTTGTAAGCTCTAAGGATGTTATAACCAAAGGCTAAATTGAGTTTTTGGCACTGTTTGGAAGTTCCTATTTCGGGTGCTATCCCTTCTGCCTCCATCAGCTTGAACTGAGAATTACTAGTACTATACATAATCCATTAATTTCTACTCAAATCATTTCACAAATGTTAATATTTCATCTTCATATATGACTGCACTGTAAAATACAAGATTCTTAAAAGCCATTGAAGAGAACTTTAAAAATAAAATTAATCAGTTAAACCATACTATGCGAGAAAGTTAAATGTGTATTTTTCTAAATTTTGAATTAAAATTGGGGCAGCCTTGTGCCAGCTAAAGCACCAAGCAATATAGCTGACCTTAGACTAGACTAGACCACTGGCTAGCCAATGTGCAGATTCTCTGGGGTTTAAGACATTCATCTCTTATCACATATCTAAATTCTGGAGAACTGGAAGAACATTCACTCACCTCTTATTTAGTAAAAGGAAAAATTAAACTTCTAAGACAACCAAAATAACATTTTTCTTTGAGAGTGACAGTTATTTTTCTTTTCACAAAATCACAGCCTTGTCTTTTTTCATAAGTCTTTATTAAAGCTTTGGCATAGTTTTGCCAAAGGTATAGCCATAGGAATAGAACCAAAGTGTGTGACCTAGCTGGTGGTCTTCTCCTCACTGTTAGTTAAGGAGACTTCATAACTGCATGACCATGTCCTAAATTGGACAGAATCAATCTTACAGGAGGTTTGCCTTCTTGGTAGATATAAAGAAAACAGAAATGCAATTCTAAGGCTAACTTCTTTGGCTATCAGTACCATGACAAGGCCTGTAAAGTCCGCTTTGCAGTATGGAGTGGAGGACACTCTTCAAAAACAAACATGATCTCCTAAACCCTGCATCAGAGGTCATGGGAGACAAAAGAAAGGCCCTTCCTGAGTCTAAAATTCAACTCCCAAGTTAGGATTTAGGAAAATTAAACCAATTATTAAGCAGAAGAAAATCCCCTGCGCATAATGACTGTCATCTTGTACAAATCACATCAAAATTTTAAGGAGTTCTAAGCAAATAGCTGGAGAAAGAGATAAGATAAATCTAAAATGGAAGAAGAGGTGGCTGATTCCAGCTGAAAATACCAAGTTGAGGATGAAAGCATTTGGGTAGAAGCAGCCTCCTGGCCGGAAAGCAAAGAGCATAAACGAATACTGCCACCAAAGTGCTGGAAAGGCCAATAGAGGCTGCAGCAGGTCGGTTTAACTGAAGGCGGTTTCCACCTCCTCCATTAGCTCGGCCCCAATTGGAAGCGCAGTGCGCGGCGCCGCGCTCCCGGCCCGCCGCTCAGGCGAGGCGGGGCGGGGCGGGGCGGGGCGAGCGCGGGCGCTCCACCGGCGCAGAGGCGGGGCGGCTATATTACGTGCGCGGTGCCGCCCCTGCGAGAGGACGTTGCGTGCTCGCTCGCGCCAGGCGAGTCTCCGCGTCTCCCTCGCGAACTCGGTGAAAGGAATTGGCGCCGTTCGACACCAGGCGGATCCGCTCTGCAGCACGAACCCACCTCCAGCCGCAGCCGCAGCCGCCGCCCGGGCCAAGGAGCAGCCGCAGCCGCCGCCAGTGGCCGAGTGAGCGGAGCCGAGTTTGAGCCAGCGCCTAGCGGTGAATCGGGGCCTCACCATGAGTTCCTCGCCTGTTAATGTGAAAAAGCTGAAGGTGTCGGAGCTGAAGGAGGAGCTCAAGAAGCGGCGCCTGTCCGACAAGGGCCTCAAGGCCGAGCTCATGGAGCGTCTCCAGGCCGCGCTAGACGACGAGGAGGCCGGGGGCCGCCCCGCCATGGAGCCCGGGAACGGCAGCCTAGACCTGGGCGGGGATTCCGCCGGGCGCTCGGGAGCAGGCCTCGAGCAGGAGGCCGCGGCCGGCGGCGACGACGACGAGGAGGAAGAGGAGGAGGAGGAGGAAGGGATCGCCGCCTTGGATGGGGACCAGATGGAGCTCGGGGAGGAGAACGGCGCGGCGGGGGCGGCCGACTCGGGCCCGATGGAGGAGGAAGAGGCCGCCTCGGAGGACGAGAACGGCGACGACCAGGGCTTCCAGGAAGGGGAGGATGAGCTCGGAGAAGAGGAGGAAGGCGCGGGCGACGAGAACGGGCACGGGGAGCAGCAGCCTCAACCGCCGGCGGCGCCGCAGCAACAACCCCAGCAGCAGCGCGGGGCCGCCAAGGAGGCCGCGGGGAAGAGCAGCGGCCCCACGTCGCTGTTCGCGGTGACGGTGGCGCCGCCCGGGGCGAGGCAGGGCCAGCAGCAGGCGGGAGGTAAGAAGAAGGCGGAAGGCGGCGGAGGCGGCGGTCGCCCCGGGGCTCCGGCGGCGGGTGAGTGCTGCGTGGTTGGTTGCGCGCGGCGGGAGGCCCGCGCGGGGTGGGGACCGTGCCCAGGCCTGCCGGAGCCCCGCAGGGGGGGGAGGGAGGAAACCCGCCGCGGGAGGGAGCACCCCTGGGGGCTGGGAACTGCTGGAGGGGGGCGGGCGGGGCGCGGGGAATCCCGGTTTAGGCGTGAGGCCTCGGCTTGGTGTGTGACGGCGGTGGCGGCGCCTCCATTATGTGGCTGGAGAGCCGGGGTGGGAAGGGGGGAGGCTGCAGCTGCCGCTGGAGGGGGAGGAGCCGCGGAGGCGCCGTCGCGTTGCGTGCGCGCGGTGCGGGCACATGTCTCGGGGGGAGGGGAGGCCCGGGGCCCCGGCGGCGCGCCGTGGCGGCTCCGGGCCGCGGTATTGTGCAAGGCGCGCCGGGCTCGGCGTTGCGTCACTTCCGGCGGGCGGGGCCGGGCGGGGCCCGCGGCGAGCAGTACAATGCGGCCGCGGGCAGCGCGGGCCCGGGTCGGGGGGAGGGGAGTGCGGGCGGGGCGCTTCTGCCCCTCCCCCTTTCCTGAACTCTCTCTGGGGTACACGTGGGCGCCGGGCCTGGGCCGCGCTCAATTTTCATTAGTTTTCTGGAATATTCGAGTGGACTGGCAAAATTAGCAATGTCCTTAGACTGCGTCACTGACTACAAACCGATTCCAAGCAGATTGTTGTTTGAATTCGCAAGTGAGTCATTGATTGAAATCACGACAATGTACAAGTGGAGCTTTAGGGAACCTCCAACAAGAAAGGGATTTTCTGTTTGTTGTGGCGGCGTGCCGTGGTATCTTACACAGCGGTGTCGTGTGTGTTGTAGGAGACGGCAAAACAGAACAGAAAGGCGGAGATAAAAAGAGAGGTGTTAAAAGACCTCGAGAAGATCATGGCCGTGGCTATTTTGAGTACATTGAAGAGAACAAGTATAGCAGGTAGAGGATGCTAACCTAGTTTTGTCACATGTTCATTGTTCTTTGGTGGGGAAAGTTGTATCAGGAGACAATTCTGTCTTTTCAGAGCCAAATCTCCTCAGCCACCTGTTGAAGAAGAAGATGAACACTTCGACGACACAGTGGTTTGTCTTGATACTTGTAAGTGAAGCTGTTTACCTGTTTCCTCCCTCAGTTATCAAATGTGATTTCTGGTTACAAGATGTTAGACAACTTAATGTGTGTAAACGGTTCTTTTAAAATTAGAAAGATGGTGGCTTTTATTCAGATTCTGGTCACTTAATTTAGTCCAGCAGTTGTATTGATAGTTTTAGAGGCTTTAACAATTTGATTATTTTTTGGTATGATTTTAAAATTTTCATTTGTAGGAATGTGAAATGAATGTCGATATTTGACTGTCTAGCTAACAGAAACTTGTAAGACTATAATTTGTCCCTATAGGGTCTACAATAAAAGTAATGTCATTTTTTTTTTTGGTGGAATTATGTTAAGTGAGCTACTTGGGCTAGTTAAGTATTTATTAATGACTTTCCCATTAGCACATCACGATATTCCCTATTCTAAAAGATTGTAATATTACTTTCTCAATAACTGCTCTTTTGTTCTCAATTCCAGTTCAGTAGCTGCTGCTTTAACCTAAGTTGGTTTCTTCCAAAGACCTGGGGCAGCAGCAGTGGGCTATCACTGGGCCACTAGCTTTCTTCAGCAGCGAATGGTATCAATGACAGCGCTGTAAATACTGCTACTTTACCCAGTTGGGTTGCAATTGAGTATGAGGAAGTATTGCAAACCTCTAAATGGGCCTTGGCAGTCAGATTCCTAATTTTTCTCACATACATACAAAATCATTGGTTTAGTATTTTGATCAGAGAGTAGAATTTTGTGATAAACAGAAAAAAGGGTAGAAATAATTGCTTAGAGGTAAGGTGTCATTCTGTCTTGTAGATCTAAGGAGTTGAATCTTAGATTCTCCTGTTTTGGAATACCTATTTTATTTAGATGTGTATGGTAGTGTAAATGTAAGTCTTGACTTTTTATTACATACCGTTTACATATAGTCAACGTAGTGGAGTCTTTTTTTTTTTTTTAAGAACTGCGTATGGAAGAGTAGTTGAATGTTTTATGTTTAGTTTTAAAGTTTAGTTGCTTAAAATTGGCAAGATACGAAACAATGGTTTAGGAAGATAATGCTGTTATAAGACTTTGTAGCTCATCGAGGGATACCAGTTTAAGTGCATTATTGGGTTCAAGTATAATCTATTGAACATTTCTATGAGAAATGTAAAGAGCAAAGCTTATGTAAGGAATTCCAGACTGTAGGTATAATTTCATCTCACCAGTAAAACTTAAGAAAGTAGCTTTCTTAATTTAGTGTTGCCTCCACTAAGAACTCAGAAGGTGCATGCTAATGAGCCAGTGACCCAAAGCTAGCTAGGTTAAAGTCGTTTTGGATTTGGATTACTCCAAAGTGTGTAATCCCCCATTCTTATTAACAGGCAAATCTGGGGAAAGGGGACCTAAAATGCTGTGGTAGTAACAGCATTGATGACCAGGTTTGTATTCTATAGACTGAGATTGCCTTAAGTTTTAGCCAAGAATTTAAGATCTAGAATCCCTGTAAAGTGAGGATCAACAGCTCATACTCTTTAAAATACTTGGTCATGGCCTCGCTTCAGTTTATTGTGGCACTGGTAAATTCTACCTGGTCTGGCATGCTTCACTTTGATTTCCTGCTATCCTCTACTGCTTGCCTCTAAATCAAGGTAAAGAGCAGAGCAGGTATGTATAAATGTCACATTGTCTTGATTATTTTATATACTTAAAATGCTCATAAACTAAACCTTGATATTTGTTAGCTGCATAGGTAGTGTACACTTCAGTTCATAATTTGGCAAGAATGACTTGGTGGGAGTGGGGTTTAAACTGAAACTTAGAATAGCATCTGCAAAAATGTATGCAGCATTCAGAAATATGTGAAAATTTAATAATAGCTTTGTCTACATAGCAGATGTTTATAGTGGATATCAAAAGAAATAATACGGTATTTGATATAATTGCAGATAATTGTGATCTACATTTTAAAATATCAAGAGATCGCCTCAGTGCTTCTTCCCTTACCATGGAGAGTTTTGCTTTTCTGTGGGCTGGAGGAAGGGCATCTTATGGTGTGTCAAAAGGCAAAGTCTGTTTTGAGATGAAGGTAAAAGTAGTTTTGTGATGTTCTTTTTTTCTTATGCTTTGTGAGGTTTTTGCCTGTTACTAGATATCAGTGGAACTTGTATTTTTTTCAAATTTTTGTGGGTTACAAGAGGGACTATGTTTTATAGTAGTTGAAGATGTTTATTATATTAGAAGTTGCCATGTAGATAGAGCCAGCATAATTTTTACTTAGGGTGTTCATTTTTTATCAGGCACTTGAAAGGCCTACCAAAGGTTTGGAAGAAAATTTGGTTAGGCTCCTGCTTTTGTTCTGAGAAATACTTGTCAAAGAATAAACTTAAGTTGGTTTTGAGTATTTTAAATGTGAATCAACCAAGTACATGTTCAGTTTCAAGTTATAAGCCCTTAAAATTTGAAGTTCTTGTAAATGTTGGGGGGAGTGTAAAGTAAAGTTGGTGTGTCTTTGTACTTAGTAGCTGAAGAAGGATTATTAGCCCATTGCCCAAATGAAATAAAGCAGGGTTGATTGAGTGGTTTATTTTCCTTGGTTTACAGTTTGTTTTTCTTTGACTTTCAGGTTACAGAGAAGATCCCAGTGAGGCATTTATATACGAAAGATATTGATATACATGAAGTTCGGATTGGGTGGTCACTAACCACAAGTGGAATGTTGCTTGGTAAAGTTTCCATTTGAGTATCTTGGTACTCTGAGTGTTTAGGGTTTGATTTCAGTAGTTAGAAGGCATTCTAGACTTTTTGCCTATTTTTTAGAGATGAATAACAGTAACATGAGCACAGGTTAAATTTTAGCTTTTCTTTATAGTTACTTGGTTTATGGCTGATGGTTCAAATAGAATGTTATCATGTCATGCAATTTGTCAACTAGTTAAATAACCACCTAGCTCTTCTTATATCTAGTATAAAGTCAGTATAGTGTATTCTTGAACCCCACATCTTGAAAAAGTAATGGGTCAGTGTATTGTTTCAGAGACTTGATTTAATGAAAGTTAATCCTTTTCTTAGGTGAAGAAGAATTTTCTTATGGGTATTCTCTAAAAGGAATAAAAACATGCAACTGTGAGACTGAGGATTACGGAGAGAAGTTCGATGAAAACGACGTGATTACATGTTTCGCTGTGAGTCCTAGCTAAGTTTCTATGTAAATGGCAAGTCATTAGATAAGATTAGTTCAGTTATATCAAACTTTTCATTTACTGATTGATTTTGACTGAAAACTTAATGTGAAGTTGATCTGAAAAGCTAGTCTTTTTGGGTAGTATTAATTTCTGTTTGTGGACATAGGTGTTGTAGTTGTTCACACCAAGCTATTTTAACATATAACCTAAATATCCACAAGATAAGCTTTACTCCTAGGTGGTTTGTTTTTAAGAAGTGTTACAAGAAGCAGATTAAAATCCATTCATTTTTCTCTGCAATTAACAGAACTTTGAAAGTGATGAAGTAGAACTGGCTTATGCAAAGAATGGACAAGATCTTGGCATTGCCTTCAAAATCAGTAAGGAGGTTCTTGCTGGACGACCACTCTTCCCGCATGTTCTGTGCCACAACTGTGCAGTTGAATTTAATTTTGGTCAGAAGGAAAAGCCATATTTTCCAATACCTGAAGACTATACTTTTATCCAGAATGTCCCCTTGGAGGATCGAGTTAGAGGACCAAAGGGGCCTGAAGAGAAGAAAGATTGTGAAGTAAGTCACTGGAAAAAAATTTTTTTTGAACCTTGGCTAAAGTTCTGTTTAATTTACTGCTGTACTTGTTCTCATTAAAAGGCTGTGAAAATTCAAATGTGTAAACTGGGCTTTTGTGTATTAAAAAATATTTAAAGAATTCTTTGCATTGTAGGTGGTTATGATGATTGGCTTGCCAGGAGCTGGAAAAACTACCTGGGTTACTAAACATGCAGCAGAAAATCCTGGTAAATACAACATTCTTGGAACAAACACCATAATGGATAAAATGATGGTAAGTAAAATGGGCTTGATTTCAGCATTTCTAAAAGACTAGAAGGTATTTATTCTAGGTAATCTTCTTGTTTTTATTCATTTTGTTTAGTATTTTAGAGATTTTGAGTTTGGTTTTGTAAGTAGGTGCTTTACCTGTAAGGTAAAAGTGCTTTCCTTCCAGTGACTAAACTCCATTTTCTGTAGAAGTTTTTTTTAACTCAGTTATCCAGTTTAGATAAACATGAGTTGATTGGCATTGGGTGGAGTTATAGGATAAAATGTCCTTTCTTACAGCATTGAGGAACGGCAATGTTTAAATTTTTTTTAATTTTAAAAAAAGGTGGCAGGTTTTAAGAAGCAAATGGCAGATACTGGAAAGCTGAACACGCTGTTGCAGAGAGCTCCACAGTGTCTTGGAAAGTTTATTGAGATTGCTGCCCGTAAGAAGCGAAATTTCATTTTGGATCAGGTAAGCTGTAACTTTGAAGTTGAAAAAACTGATAATTGTAGAATTACTGTTTGGGGTTATAAACTTTTTTTTTTCTTTTTCTGAAAGACAAATGTGTCTGCTGCTGCCCAGAGGAGAAAAATGTGCCTCTTTGCAGGCTTCCAACGAAAAGCTGTTGTAGTTTGCCCAAAAGATGAAGACTATAAGCAGAGAACACAGAAGAAGGCGGAAGTAGAGGGGAAAGACCTACCAGAACATGCAGTTCTCAAAATGAAAGGCATGGCGTTCTGTTACGTTTATATAGCCTGTGATTTGTGTCTTAATATCAGTAATAACCGTTTAACTGTAAATGAACGTTTTTATTTAACTTGTGTTTGTAAGAAAATGTGATTAAAATATGACTAGGTATTGTGTGTTTTGCAAGAATTACAGCTGATAGAGAATTGTAGGCTTCAGGGTTGTGAATGTGTATGTAGTGGGTTTGTAGGTTAATATGCTTTTATGTTTTGCAGGAAACTTTACTCTGCCAGAAGTAGCTGAGTGCTTTGATGAAATAACCTATGTTGAACTTCAGAAGGAAGAAGCCCAGAAACTTTTGGAGCAATATAAGGAAGAAAGCAAAAAGGCTCTTCCACCGGAAAAGAAACAGAACACAGGCTCAAAGAAGAGCAATAAAAATAAGAGTGGCAAGAACCAGTTTAACAGAGGCGGTGGGCATAGAGGACGTGGTGGATTCAATATGCGTGGTGGAAATTTCAGAGGAGGAGGCAAGTTAATTTAGAGTTATTATTTGGTCCAAGGTTGAAACAAATAGTAAACTTCTAGTTTGGGTCTATATATTACTTAGCTGAATTTAACATAGGATGCTTTTGATCTGCATTATCTTAGCTGTCTTAGTTAGCATATCTAGGCTGTGTTGAACGGTTAAACATTTTTCTCCTAAGATGAAGGAATGGTCCAAAAGAACCCTAAGTCTCATGTAAAGAAGGTAACACTATTAAATGAAACGTTTCTTGTTTTTTAGCTCCTGGGAATCGTGGTGGATATAATAGGAGGGGCAACATGCCACAGAGAGGAGGTGGTGGTGGCGGAAGTGGTGGAATTGGCTATCCGTATCCTCGTGGCCCTGTCTTTCCCAGCCGAGGCGGTTATTCAAACAGAGGGAACTACAACAGAGGTGGAATGCCTAACAGAGGGAACTACAACCAGGTGATCACTGAAGATCTCTGCAGACACTGATTCTCCATATAACTTAGTATGAGAGGTTATATAGGATGGGCAGCTTCACTGAAGAGTTAAGAACACAGTGTATATGCATAATTATGATAAAATGTGTAAAATTCATTAATGTTAATTTTTAGGTGCGTTAACTCTTAATAGGAGCAAGTCAGGTGTGATGTCTCCTAGTGAATAAGTTTTAATCACCTGAAAGGAAACCCAGCAGAGTGTTCAGGTTAATGGCTGACTGCCCATCCATCCATTTCTGCAGCTATGTCCCCTCTTTGCCCCCCGCCCCTTAGATAATCCTAACAACTTGTGTTCTGAGTTCTTTAAAGATTTTTTTCTTTTTTGTAGAACTTCAGAGGACGAGGAAACAATCGTGGCTACAAAAATCAATCTCAGGGCTACAACCAGTGGCAGCAGGGTGTAAGTAATTCCTTACATGTTTTTATGTGCATTTAATTGTATTTAAGAATCAATCTTGAAAAAAGATCTTGTCCAGGGATTGAAGTGTTTATAAATAAGTATTACAGGGCAAGCTGTGAGTTGTATTGCAGTTGTAGCTATATACTATTTTTTGAAGGTGAGATAGGTTGGAGTTTGCTGTAACTTAATAGTTTTTAATAAAGTAATATTTAATTCATACTTTTTTTTTAACTGATAGCTTTAATTGTATAAACTAACCGAAGTCGTAATGTGTTTCTTTTTGTAATGTGTATTGATAATGGGATGTTAATACTAACTAAATCTGGCTTGATAAATCAGAGGAATGACAGGTATAAATTTGTTTCCAGCAATTACTCTGAATTAGATTGTCATTTCCTAAAAGCAATTTGAGTGGCTTATTGATGTTTTTTCTTTAAAAAAAAAATTTTCTCTTACAGCAATTCTGGGGTCAGAAGCCATGGAGTCAGCATTATCACCAAGGATATTATTGAATACCCAAATAAAACGAACTGATACATATTTCTCCAAAACCTTCACAAGAAGTCGACTGTTTTCTTTAGTAGGCTAACTTTTTAAACATTCCACAAGAGGAAGTGCCTGCGGGTTCCTTTTTTAGAAGCTTTGTGGGTTGATTTTTTTTTTCTTTTCTTTTTTGTACATTTTTAATTGCAGTTTTAAAGTGAATCGTAAGAGAACCTCAGCATTGTGCACGATAAGAGAATGTGTCAGTATTTCAGGGTTCTACATTTTATCTGTAAAATGTGACTTTTTTTTTTATCACAACAAAAGTAAAATGTTGCTTTGTACCTGGTGTCTTTTATTAAGAATTTACTCCCCCCCATTTCTCACAGAGATAACAGTCGGGAGTCATTGTCACAATATAATAGAAATGTTAGCAACCAGATTCATGTAAGGACTTAGTGGTCCTCATGAATTGCATAAGACTCTGTACTGCTCGTATTACACTCCATCCTCTCTGTAGTTTGCTGAGTAGTGGAGGGGTAAGCTAAATAGTAGTTTTTGACAGTAACTGGGAAGGTTCTTTCTTTTTAAGTAACAATGGAATTGGCATATTTGGGAATGAAGATAAAATTTGGAACTAAGATAGAGAAGATGGAGTGTATGTAGAAGGGCTGTTAAAAAATGTAAAACTTGGTTGCATTATTTGTGGAGGCTCAAACTTGTGAAGGTTTAAGTACCATAATTTTTCCATTTGTTCTGCATTTTGATTCTGAAAAGAAAGCTGGCTTTGCCCATTTCTTATTAAAAAAACTTGTTGTAAATCCAGTTGTCTAATGGGATCTATATGAAGTTAGCTATGTCTGTATGCCCTTCTCCCACAAAATACTGTATAACTAGTGTGCTTGTAGTAGTTAACTCCACCATCTTTGTAAGCTAATGAAATTGTGAGTCACCCATTTATATCTTAATTTTTAATCATGTCAGTTCTTGAATGGGTATCTCCTTAGCCTGCTGATTTCTTTTTCTTTCTAAAGAAAGTGGGTGGAGAAATTAATTTAGACGTTTGTTTGCAATAAAAAGAATTCATTTTACTCTTGTTTTGGGATTCTCGCCATCAAGGTTCAAAATCCCTTTATGAAACTCCCAAGAGGAGAAAATTTAAGTGTGTGCTTTCTGGACAGCTTATTCTTTACTCTGCACTTGGAACATTTAGGTTTTAAAAACTTAAATGTATATTGACAATTGACTTAAAATTACGAAGTTGAACTCTTCCCTTCCCCTCCCCCCAGATGACTTTAAACATTTAATGAGGGGAAAAGGTACTGGCTGGGAGAAGTTAACACTCAGTTTACCATCTTTACAAAATGCTAATGGCTGTCCTCAACTGATAATTATATATACATCTATATAATACATGAAACTCTGGGAACAGATGCTTTTAGAAGCCATCATGCAAGCCAGTCAATACTACACAACACTGCTAACTTAACTGTAGTTATGTGATAACATTAGATCCCCTAATTAATTTTATTGGGTTTGCACAGAACACTTAATCTTGTAAAGGACCCTCACTTACAGTGAGGAATCAGGAGTCAAACTGTAGAACTAAAACTTGACATGAGCTTAGTGTTTCGTTGGTGTTACAGGTTTCCTCTGGTAAGTACAGGTTGGTTTAATTTTCTGCCTGCCTAGATTTTTGTTTTAGCCATTTTAAGTCAGATTTTTAACTAGAAATTTTTCTTGCTGAAAGATGAGCTGGAGTTGAGTTTCAGATGATGGTGTAGGTTCTGTTGAGAGTGTTTTGGTTATAACACACTTAACCATAGGAATACTTACCAGTATAAGATAGTGTCTCAAGGGTTTTTGTCTTTTTAGCAATTGCAACTATCTGCATGAGCCTACTTTTCAGGATGCATCAGTATTACTAGGATTGCATAGCCTTGTCCAGGGGGAAAAAGTAAGCTTTGTTGCAAAGTATTTAGGTGTCCTAAATGTTTTAAATACTGTTGAAAAACCTTGGATATAGTTTCTAGTTCAAAATTGCGTCTTTTGCAACTCTTAATCATTGCAATGGGAGAGGGATGGCCAGGGGACAATTCTGTAGGCTTGTTGCCTGTGTAGCACAGAAAATTTGGGGAAGAGAGAAAAAATGTTGACAGAAAATGTTAGGTTTTAAGAAGCAGTTTCAAGGTCAGAGTTACTGTTACTGTTAATGTCTATTTATATGAAATGAAACAAACCTAGAGAATATATAAGAAATTAAGAGGGAGTGCACCATACAGCAAGCAAGAGAAAAAGTTGATGCCAAGTTTGGTAGAACAAGAGCTATAAACAAAAAACTTGGTTTACTGTTCACCTCTCCCCTTGCCTACATCTCCTCTATGGCAAGCAAAACTGGATAAACATCTGAACACAGATGTCCCAGCTACACCTTAGAAAACTCACCTGTGAGACTGTTTAAGAGATGCTTTCACTAGAAACTTTTGCATATAGTTGATTATACCTACCATCCTGAGGCGAGAATTGGATTAGATTGGTTACTTGGTACAAAAACAGCATAAAGATAGAAATGATAAAAGTTAAAACTGAAACTGCAAAAAGTTATCTCTGTTGGTCATTTACATCTTGATGCTCATATCTGGCCTTGGGTGGAGAGCTCCAGCTCTGACTGAGGAGCCTGAGACTGACTTGTAGCCCTAATACACAGGTAGCAAGGTGTGATCTTAGGATGAAGGCGGAGTCCAACCAGTTTAACATTGAAATGACAAGCTACATTAAATGTAGAAAAGAAGCTCTCGTTTGCCTTAGGAGCCTGTTGGAAAATAAGAAATATGAAACTAGTTTTAAACGCTAGCAACAGGTATTAAAGCTTGTTAAAAAACAATTTTTTTCAAGGAAAGATGACTCAGTATTTTTCAACTCTTGGGGAATTTACATTCATGGAAAGATTGTGTGCTGTATATGCCTCAGGTGTGGGAGTTGAATTGACATGATTTCCTATGAACATCATATATGAACAGGCTTTTTATCTTAGGATTGTTTTTATAACAGGTTCCATTGCACAAGCAAAATATTTTGATAGTATTTAAGGCAGTGGTGCAGACACCTTTGATATAGGAAGAACTGATTGTAGATCTGGAAGTGTGTTTTTGATGTGTTTTGAAAGCCAAAACCAGGATAAATATATTAAGGAGAAATTAAGGAAGGTGTAAACTTGTATTTTGGTAGTCTAAGTTGAAGTTTTTGGTATTAGACACACAAAACATTTTAGTTCTCATAATTCACATATAAACTTAAACTGTCTCTTTAAAAAAAGGTGGAGCCTGTAGGACAGAAAAGTCATCTACTTTTCAACCCCCCAGAAGACTCATTTTGGAAGGAACCTTATTCTTCTAAAGCCATTTTTCTAAAATTCTTAAAGATGTTTGAATCTAAACTTGTTCATATTTCTGGGGCTCTGGAGCTCAAAAATGGGTTTAGGTTTTAACATTTTAGTAATACTTAATGAAAGTACGGATGTATGATAATGACCTGGCAGTAAGTTGCAGTGCTTAGTTTACGTATTTTACACATGAATTTTAAAGGACCACTAGTGCTTTAAGAAGTTTAGCAGCTGCTTCAACTCTTAAAGGATTGGGATTTATTACTCACGTAACTTCAGTCTCTCAAAATCAGTTGCCTTAAACTTAACTAGAAATAGTTGAGTGCAATATTTTTGTGATAGTGGAGAGCATTTTCCTTGGATGACTTTGAAATGTGACTTTGGCCATCAGTCCCCAACTCCTGTACTCAAACATGCAGGTGATAGTTGTGGCCAGTTCAGTGCCTAGAGTTTTACTTGTGTTCTAATGCCCAGTTTTTAACTTAGTACTATTAATCGTACTACACGTACATGACTACAAGACAGTAAAAATACATTGTTTACCTAACTGCTGTTGAAGTGACATTTGTCATAAACTAGTCTTTATTAACCTTGATAATAAAATTAAATCCTTAAGAATTAATTTGGAAATGACCTACTGGACTGATAGAAGTAGTATGTGTCCTCGAGTGTGTTGCAATAGAAAAAATTAAAAACTATGACCTTAACATTAATTTTAAATTGTAAACTTATACATGTGAACAGCTAATAACCTAATTTTTAAATTCTGCTAATAAGGTATGGCATTTTATTTGGTGGTCACAGTAGTGACTTTCAAACATGGAGATAGCTGGAGCTCAGAAAATAGCTTTAGGTAGGAGAGTTATGGCTAACAAAGATAACACTAAGAGTAATACATACATACACACACACACACATTTTAACATTCTAGCCAATCAAAGATTCAGGTGATAGGTTAGTGTTGTTTGCCCAAGGAGTTTAGTCCATGAGGAATAGCAGACTGAAAATAGGTAGTGATATTACTCAAAAGGTTAACCCAGAGTACTCAAAAAAGGTAACACCTATACATTGTGTGATCAGGTTGAGAATGTGCTGTCCAAGTGAGAAGCTGAATAAGTACCGTTTGACATGTAGACAGTTGGTAATTTCCCTTGTGATTGTGGATCCAATATTATGGGAGTAAATGTTGCAGGTAACTGTTAAACCAGGACATCTGTAATCTTTGGTTAGATGAGTTATTGGGACAAGAACTTAATCATGTATTTAAGTAGTCAATTCTAATTACTTTAGGAATATTGTAACTTTGTTCTCTTTATGCCAGGAATCAACATAAACTTAACATCTTGACAAGGAACAGGGGTTTTGCTTTTAAATACTGGGTTTGTTGGTATAAGAAACAGTTGAAAGTGATGGCGTAGTAACAGTCCAGGCAAATGGAGAAATGTCTTAGGGAAAGGCTCAGTTCCTTAAGTATTTCAGTTAAAATCAGTGCTACACCAGTGGCACAGCAGTCACTACTGCGGATGTTCAGTTCATCTTGGGTTTTGCACAAGTGGATGTTCTGTAGGGACAACAGGCTTGGAAAGCTAGCATCAAGTTTGGAACCTGTAAACACCAAACTGCTTGTTGCATGTTCTTCCTGCCAGTCCTCTAAGACTCCCATTAATTACATGATCTTAATACGAAGTAAAATTAGTTTTGGCTAGTAGAATATTTTAATTTGCCAAGCACTTGAGAAGCATTGCCACAAATTAACATCAGCTGAAAAATCTTAAAGCAGTCAAGAACTTTGAGATAGGCACTGTAGACAGCTTGCACAGCATGAAATCTTCAGAAGTATTCAGGCATACATAGAATGAGAGCAGTTGAAGCTTACTTGAATGACAGGATAATCTTTTACCTTAGCTATTATTAAGGTGCCCTTTTAGTTGTAGTTAAGGGAGATGGGAGAGTAATGGTCAAGTACAACAAAAGGTTCCAGCGTACTGTTTTTGTTTTTTTGAAAAATAAAAGATAATTTGCTGATTTAAGTTTCATCTCCTTTTCCTTAGTCTGTCCATGTGAATGTGCTGTGTGGAAGAGTAAAAGGGCCCAAGTAAATGTGTTCCAGTGATTCCAATAGGTATTCCAAATTAATTGCTGCTTGTACGTTAACACTTGTTATATTGGGCTTCCAGGGTCTCACCTTAATTAGAACTCTTTAAAATAAAAAGACAGGGGAAAGGGAGAAATTAGTAACTAGGTGGATAGATCTGTCTATAATTAGAAGGAAAAAAAAAGTTCTAATAGCTCCTTTGTATACCTGAAATGTGAAGCGCATTTAGTAGAATGTTAGTTGGTGGTCCTCTTGCATAGATTAGAGGCGCTACATGCAAATAGAGCCAAGTCCTTTTAAGATTATCTCCTCATTCTAATGGTTCAGATTCCTTTTAATGTTTTGTATGTTTCAACACCCTACTTGTAGTTTAAATGCTTAAAATATTCTAATGCAAAGAGATCTAGAATGCCTATGTCCTTGAGTTCCCCAAATCCTGCATCTATGGTAAATGCACAAATAAGCAGCCTATAAAAACTTGGAAAACCATCTTTTGGATAGTGAAGTAATGTACATTTATATCTAAAGTCCATTAAATCAGGAATTGAAATCTAAGACAAGGACTTTGTGTTAGTTCAGAAGCATGTATGAAACTTAGAAATTTTCCTCACTACATACATCAGAATAATGTATTTTGGTGAAATGAGAGAGGACTCGAGTACTATACTGACGGGAAATAAAAAGATCAGAATTTCCTCAGTGAAACAGTTTTATTCTGTCAAAACAATCTCTTAATGGCTTTTGAAGAGCAGACAGCTTGTAAGAGTAAAAGGTAAAATTCACAACCTTTCTTTCTATTGGAGGAAGAAAAACATAAAAACTAGGAAAATGTTTATAAAGCAGCCTTAGAATTTAGGTTGTAAAACATTGTTTCATGTCACATGACTTGTCCTTGGGGCCTTAAGGAGGAATACAGTTTAATGAAAATTCACCCTGTAAGAAACCAGTTTGTACTGATTTGAATCTCCTAAGGGTAGGCCATAAAATAGGTGTTTTCTAACTTACAGAACTCTGGGAATTATTCTTAGAAAAAAGGTGGAACAGATAACTGCCCAATAAGTACATGTGAATATTAGTGAACAACAGAAACCTTTGACTTCATTTATTTATAGTCAGTGGTAGTTTTCTCAAGATAAAAATACTTGTGAAGTCTATAATTTCTAGAAAATAAAAGGCGAATGCAGTAGTCGAAAAGACTCATAAGGATGTTTGCAACACTGATCAGTAGCGCCTACATTATAAACTTTGAAATGTATTACTTTGAAAAATACTGTGTAAGATAATTTGTCCCTAAAGCGTCTCTTTTCAGAGAAAATTTACATATTGAACTTAATGCACACACACAAAAATATCCTTTGTAAGATACCAGTATTTGGGTGGTAGAAGATAAACTGACCTGATTTGATGACCAATGGACCATATTTTTAAGATGCTTCCAAAAGATATTTTATTCTAGAGGACCATTAAAAACTATAATTAAAACAATCATTGTACTTTTTCTACTTTCCTCATTAAGGTATTCTGCTTTCCCAAAGTCATGTACCTTACATGACTTAAGGGGTGCCTTAATCCCCATCCACCAGATTTTTACCTAGGAATAGAAGGATTCAAACCTTATTTGATACCTAGCATTTTGCTGAAAAGTGTGCATAAACAGGAATCCTGAATTTATTATATAGACCTCCTCGCATTATAAAAGCGAAGCGAAGGGAAACCAGCGATGGAGTAGAGGTACGTAGACTGAAGAGATGCTTGCAAATGATGGTACTAGGGATAGTCAATATGTTGGCAAACTTGGTCAATATAAATCACAAGTCCAGAGAAAAGCTAGTTAATTTAAAAAACCCTGAGGTTCTTTTATTGAAAGGTAAAACAAGTCAAAGGAGGGGTGGGGGAAGGGGGACTGCATAATAAAGCACTTAGATAGTAGGTATGATAGATAAGCCACGAAAAGTTTTAAACCTACTAATGACGACAATTCTATTTTAATCAGCTATTTAGCTGGTACCTACTGCTATATCACAGTAGTGTGAAAAATCGGATTTAATGGAATAATGAAGCAGTTCAGCTGAAGCCTTCATGTGGGCCTGGAAGGTAGGTTCCTCTTTCAGCTTAAGTGTGAAAAGCATGTAAGCTGCTGGATGAGGGGGATTAGTGAATGTTTAGTAATTCAACTGACTTGTTAACTGCTTTCTGCCAGACATTTTATTGGGAATGTAAAGATAAAAATTGATAGGGTTCTTAGCTATAGTCAGTGACCAATGAAAGTCTACCACTGTTGGGAAAACAGATGAAACCAACTAATACGAGTCTAAATGAGATGATGATGAACCTAATTCTAGAAGTTGGTGAGCAACAGAATGTTAGAGGAAATAGGAGAAGGGCACTCAAGTGTAACGAAGAAGTGAGCAGAGGTGAGTTCAGTTCATGGTGAGCCAGACGTACACTGGTGATAGGACTGGCAGAATTTACTAGCTTGAAGTTGCATAGCAGAGTGGAAGATTGGACTGGAGGAACCAGAAGTGGAAGTGTCAAGATCAACTTGGAGGCCCTATTGAAAGTATCTAGTAGCAGTGTGTGATACAGGCCTAGAGCATGTTGAGTGGTCCAGTAATTCATTTTGTATCATCCTAGTAGTTCAAGAAGAAAACATGCTAATACTGTAAATTTATGAAATGACATTTGAAAAGTAATCCAAATAAGTATTTAAACTTATGTTTTTATCCAGGTCTCCAGTTTGTGCAGTCTTCTGTGAAAATGAACTAACATTGTTACTGGTGAAGGCCTTGGACATTCTTGCCAGCCGAGAGATTTTTCTCTTAACTTGGGGTAAGATTTAATAATAGTGTGCTAGAGCTGGAAGGGACTGAGTTACTTAATCCATTGGCCTGATTTTATATGTTACATGTTATTAAAATTTGATCAGTTCTCATTGGTTTCCCACCTACCCCGCCCTTTAGAACAAATGACTGTCACATTATGGAATTGTTCACATAGTTATTTCAGGTCAATTTGCATAATGTAGACTGCACTGAGCTTTGATTTATGCTAGTAACAGGAGGTAGATGATCTTGTGAAACTTAGTTCTCCATTCAGTGTCCAAGGTTCTCCCTGTGGTGGTGGCCAGATAATTAAGGTCAATAAAGATCAGAACAGTGGTCCCCAACTTTTTTGGCACCAGGGACTGGTTTCGTGGAAGTCAACTGTTCACTTTCGGCTGTGCGGCCCAGTTCCTAACAGGCCATGAGCCAGTATCAGTCCTGGGATTGGGGATCCCAGCTTTTGCGTACATGCTTGACAGCGTCACTCATGATACGGACGGCATTTGATAAACCATAAACATTTGTGTACCCTAAGCTGTAAGAAGGTGGGCACAGGAGGGAAAATGGTACCTTTCTCATGAAGTGAACAAGCCCTACCTATCCTGAAAAGAGGCACAAAATAAGAACAACATAAGTTTCAAGACATCTGTTCCTTCCTCTATTTTAGTTAACCGTGATAATCAATAGGCCCAGTGATAATGCTGTGACTTTATGCACCAGTGTTCATTCCTCAACCAGAAAGGCCTCTAAGCTTGTGTTTTAAGTATTTTCATATTGATATTTACTAAAACCAAAAATGGATGAATGAATGAGTGAATGCTCTGGGCTTAGTTGGGTGTTGGGTGCTTTTTTTAAATGGCAGCCAATTTATTATTATGAATGTCTTTACATAATGGAACAACATGTGTGTAATTTTGCAGTTCTTTTTCCTTTGCACCACACAAGTTTCAGAAGATATTTTTATGCATGCCATGTGCAAGTTTAAATTCTACTTAAAAACCCTGCATACTTCCAAGACCTATTTAGAGCAGCTAAAAATCACGTTTCCTTTCTGAGAGAGAACTCACCTGTTAAAATGGGAGAATACAGTCAAGCACTGGGTGCATTTTAAAAGTAACAATTGGAAAGCAATGATCCATTAGTTTTAAGTGTGATAGAACGTCACTAACTTTAGAGACCAGAAAGTGTCCCTTCATTTTTAACAAGGTACAGTAATACAGTTGTGACTTTTGTTTTTAAGGCAAGTTTTAACATCCAGCTGAGATTTTATTTCTTGAGACATCAGGTGTACTCACTGCTTACTATAAGGAGACACTTTTCAAAGCAAGTTAAACACAAGGATTATTTGAAGTGAGTCCATCATGCTATACTGACAGCAGATACAGGGCCCGAATAAGTTTGTAAATACTCAGACATGTAAAAAAGACTACAGCTTACACATACTTTATTTACTTGATTGAGATCTGTCTTATGGTACATAAAATGTTTCTGTAGTTCATCTCAGCTTTGTTCACAATGAAGTGAATTGTATCTGGGTTTTCTATGCTCAAGACTGCTCAGTTGCTGCTGCCGCCGCCATTGGTTTGTTTTCTTGCAGGATCAAGGTGGGTACTTTCGTATAAAATCTTGTTTTTAATTCCTTCTCTGGCAAGTCTTTCCTGGATTCTTAGCTTTGCATAATTATACCTACAGTGGAACCTAGTAAGGAGAATGTGAATAAATTACCAATATGACATACCTATGGGAACTAATTTTGAAGTTTTTAAAAGCTTACAGATGACTGACTGTCAGTGGTACCATAGGCAGGGATGAAGTGAGCATTAGGATAAAAGGTTGAGGCCTTCCTAAATGAAATATAAACCCTGACATGGCATTAATGCAGTGTCTGATGTCGCATTCATCTGTTGATTTGACAAATGACACAAAACACATGGGTATATATACATATTTAAAGGCAGTCCAGCAATATCATTTTTTAAGATAATCTTAAGTAGGGGTGGGAATCTCCCAGTGGGGGATTGCTGAGCATAGCATGTGCTTTGGAATTAGATTAACCTTATTAAAATCTTGAATACTTAACACTCATACCAGCATCCTAAAGTCACCACGATAAATCCTCCTACTCCAACGTCACATGATCTTCTAATTCTGCCTGTCGAAAGGAATCATAAACACTATAATCAGGATTGTGATACTTCATCTAGAACAAAACTGTAAACACATAGAGAAATGCTTTTTATACATGAAGAAAAACAGATATACTCACTAGTTAACAAAAAATGTCCAAGGCCAGCCACAACAGATCCTAATGAACCATATAATATCGAATCCCGTGCACAGGGAATGTTTTCAACATCTAAAATTCCTAGGAGTTTAAAGGGCTAGGAAAAATAAAATAAGTTTGAGTAAAAGAATATTTTACTTCAGGATGGTTTGGCAAAGATTAAAAACAAACCATCCTGCTTTGGTATCTAATATGAATGAATCTAAAATGGAAACCTTGAGAATTTGACCAGAAAGAACTAAGTAGTAGAGTAAATTAAACCTAAATAGATTATGGTATCATGGTTATGCCATAATTTGTTAACCAGCTGGTTTGGAGATAGGGACATACATTATTTCATGAGCTCTTTAAATATCTCTATGGCATCTCGGGGGTTTGGCTATCACTGAAGGTAAAAGCAGCATAATTATAATTTGAGAAACAGATGGGAAAGTGAAATTGTTTTAACCATGTTACTTATAATATTTAGTATACTGCTGTTTTAAATTCCTTTAAGGATGAGTGCAGATTTTATCTGTGTTAACCAGTAACAGCACATCAGTTTTGTTTATAATAAATATTTTGACAAGTCCCTTGTCTGTTTCCTTGCCTGTGATACAAAGTTGCACTTCATTTCTTTGTTGAAGTACATAGTAACCACATCTAGATGTGATGAAAAAAAGTGGAAATCTAAGAGGGTTGGATTTTAGTCTCAGCTCTGCCACTAACTTCTGTAACCTGTAGGATATATTTTCTTATTTGGCCTGCAGTCTGTAATGAAGGGGTTTGGCTAGGTGATAATTTAAGTTCTTTCAAGTGCTAAAATGGTTTTTAAATTCTTTATACAGTCTGCACTGGATTTATGGATTTGTTCTCCCTCTTTGAAAAATACTGCCACTTTAAGTGTGACATTTTCAACCTGATGTCTTGTCACTCTCACTGTACTTTGGGGTTGGGGGGGCAGACATTTTTTAAAGTCACACTTAATGTTTTGCTGCAGCACTCCTATTCACTTGAAAAAAAAAAATTTCAGTAATGTAACTTTCAAAAAGGAAGTCACTTGCCCATTCCTAGGAATGAGATGATACCTAGATGGTAATATACTATACGGGTAAAAGAAGACTGGATTGGAAGAAATAGGGAAAGGACAGTGAAGGGCAAGTTAGATTCAAGGTTGAAACATACAGGTATTCTTGACTGTTTGCTTTGGCTGAAGCTTCTGCAGAAAAGACAATGTGACTTGGTTCCTAATAAAGCAAAAGTTATATACTCTCAGATCACTGTTTTTCTTTTGTCTCTGCCTGTCCCCCGCCCCTGCCCGTGCCCCTCCCCCCAAACACGTTTGAACGCAGCAGGTGCCTCTTAAAGTTGGCGGACTCCAGTGGTAGGCTCTTCAGTACAAAGCTTCATATACAAGAGGTTGGGATTTAACTTGTAGGCCTTTCATTTAATTTAGCAAAAAAAAAAGATTGTTCCTTACCTTCAGGTCAAGAGCCCAGTGGCATTTATGGCCCCAGAGGGGAGGGCGTGAACTGTTCTGCAGGTAGGCCACTGCCCTGGGTGGGGAGAGGGTGCTAAAAGGACTGAGATTGGGGGTGGTGGTGGTTAATGTCAGGTCTTGGATGCGAGACCAGCAGCTGCTATCACGGGAGAATGTTAGATGGCTTTCCCATCTAAGCAGAGAAGGAAAGGAACCATTAAGCGTTAGCCACAGCATGCCGGACACTGCATATCCCAACCAAGACAGCACAAGCTCTTTGAAGGCATCGGAACCTTTTCATTTGGATTCTCTTCCATAATGGAGTCCTGGTGTAACCCCAGGATACAGCAGAATGTGCAAGCTTTTGGAGGGGGAGCACTTGGATAAAAGGATAAAGTGCAGTTCTTTGCCAGGTGTGTAAATTTGCTGGACATCTGAAAGGGTGCTGTTTAAATCGACTAGGTAATTTCCTGAGGGTTTTTAGAGATTTTTGAGTCCCACCCTCAGATTCTGACTGACTAGGCCATGGGCATTTATGTTTAGGAAACTGACCAAACTCACACCCCCCCACCCCAAACCACCAGATGGGGAGAAACACCGCTTTGGAGACTAAGTTTTTGAAATTGCAAATGGTAGAATAATCCAGCTTTCTGTTTAAGTGTTACTTCTAAAACCAATACGTGGTTTTAGATGCCAAGGATGGTCCTGCTAAACCACCTCCAACAAAAACTGCCTTGGTCCATGTCAGTAGAACCAAGGCTGAGAAGGCAGTGCTGGTCTACTTAAACAGTCTTACAGCTTAGAGGTGCTAAGGGGTTATAGGCACCAAGCTCTTTATATTCCTTGTTTTTAATTCTGAAACAGGCTCACGGTTTAAGTAGAACCCTCATATGTGGTGGCAGAGTGGAAGTCAGTCTGACCCTGAAAGCCTGTCATTTCCATTGGAGCATTTAACCCTTTCAGGGTTCACATATAAGGAGAACATAGCTTAAGTACATAACTGTAGATAAGCTTGTGTGCTTAAATCACTTCAGTCGTGTCCCGACTCTGGGATCCTATGGACCAGCCTGCCAGGCTTCTCCATGGGATTCTCCAGGCAAGAATACCGGAATTGGGTGGGGTGCCGTGCTCTCCTCCAGGGAATTTTCTCTTAGGTCTACCTGCAGGTGGGTTCTTTACCACTAATGCCACCCTGACTCAAAATTGGGTAAGGATATACTAAGATTTTTTTCCCTTTCCTAGTAAGAGAATTGTCACAGCCTGACAAATCTGAAAGACTAGTGATGGCTTAAAAGCAAATACAGAGTACTGTAATAAAAGTCTTGAGTTTATACAATATATTTATAGTATCCAAACCAAGTCTCAGAAATGGAAAGAATCCTACGCCTAAAGTCCTTTTGAAGTAGTTCTACTTGTAATGTTCAAGGCATTTAGCATTCCTCTTTTACTCCCTAAGTAGTCTGCAAACTTAAGGTTCACCTGCTATTAACAAATTAAAGACTTTAAACATAGATTATATTTTAGGGTAAACTAGTATTTTAAGCCTAGATTTAAAAGGGCAGCTTTAGCAGCACACCTTGATGGAATTAGGAAAGCTCAAAAAAAAATTTCTAAACCAGAATGGCAATTTAATGATTTATAGAGAATAAGTCAAAGCTGCTTCATTTTCCACTGTTAAATCTATCTGCTCCATCAGTGCTCATTTGCCTTTTATTTCCAAGGAGGAGCTGGCCCTACTATTTAAAACTAGTCCTCACTGTGCAGCTGATTACTCTTAAGGACTTTGCTTCTAATGGTTATCCCTTACTTTATTTGCATTATTTGTTTTTCATCTATTTAATAATCTCCAATCTAGAAATACACAAATTACCCTCTCAGCACCCTGTTTCCCCAAGCCACCATCCCATTTTTCTGCTCTTTACTGCAAAACTCAGTTACCAATGTGTGCTCCTCTCCACTTAAAAACCTACCTGCTTTTAAGCCAGTTCAACAAGACATCTATCCCCTACCCTCCACCGAAAGGGCACCACTGAGGTCTAAAAGCCACTTTGCTAAATCCATCTTACTTTACATCTCTGCACATGTGGCACAGATAATCATTTGACTTTGAAACATGTTGTTTCACTTCAAATAAAATGAAACATTTTCTTTCATTGACTTGATTTTCAGTGGGTTAAACCACCATCATGACCCTAAAATGACAGCAGTTACCTCCTATCAAAGGTGAACAATCACATACACAAGGGATAAAAAGGCCCACTGAAGATCCCAGTGTCTTCACAAAGCCGTCTAGAATTCTGTTATAAGTTAGATGCCTCTGTTCTACTAAAGCATATTCCAATCGGCATGTGAGACACAAAAAACAGAAAAGGCATCAAGACAACTGGCAAGCTTTGATAATAAATATGGTAGCAACGTATCCAACGTTCATAACCATTGATGATCTAGGCCAAATTTATTTTAAAAATTTTATTTTTTGGTTGAGCCATGTCACATGTGGGATCTTAGTTCCCCAATCAGGAATGAACCTGCACCTCCACCCTACCCCCGGCACTGGAAGCTGGAGGGAAGTGTCCCATCTAGGGCAAATTTAGATGGAAAATTCCCCAGAGCAGCAAGAACACTGAAGAAGCAATCAAAATTTTCAAGCTGAGCAGATCTCTTAGATCTACAGATTTGGTGCAGTGTGGCAGAGTGGGTCTTTCATAAATATTTGTGACTCTTAACTGATCCAACGTTAATCTCTCTGGTTTACGATGGATAAAATTTTTTCTTCTTGCATATTTTTTATGAGCACTTAATATGCATTGAGGATATAAAAATTGGATTCCTGCTCTTAAGGAAGAGAAGACATAAATTAACTTCCAGTATAATGCTGTAATGGTAACAGCTATGTACAAGGTGTCAGGGAGATGAGGACAGAAGCACCTCAGCTACCTTTGGGGTCAGGAAGCCCTTCATGGGAGGCCAGAGATAGACCTGTTGAGCTTTAATACACTTGGAGAGGAAAGCATGAGAAGATTCACAGAGACTGAACAGTGAGGAGCTTTACACGCTTCCCAGGTGGCACTGGTGGTAAAGTACCCGTCTGCCGATGCAGGCGACCTGAGACTCGGGTTCCATCCCTGGGAAAAGGGCATGGCAACCCACTCCGTTACATCACAGATCGAGAAATTCGGATTTATCCTGAAAGCAATGGGCTGCTACGGCTGAGTTTTAAGCAGATGTAAAATGATCCATTTTACAGGGTAGCCCACAAAGACAACTGTGGATGATGGGCTGAGAAGGCAAAGCAAGACACGAATGCCAGCCAGCGAAGCTGTTGGTTGCATATAATGATGCAAACTCCACGTGGTTGACTGAAAACTGGTTAACAGAAAAAACCTCAAATCCTTTCATCTGATCCTCCTGCTCTGGATATAAATTCACTCGAATATAGCAAAGTTTTCATTTCTCAGCATTTGCCCATTCCTCCATGTTAAATGTGATATATACAGCCTTAGCACCTGTCCTCAGGGAACTTTAAATTCACTCTTTATTAGCCAATTACAATATGAGGCGCCTCTCAGCAAAATTTCCTTTCCACAGGGACCAGTCTTGGGGCCTGCAGTAAGCTCTCGGTATCGGTCCCCTCATCCTCCTAGTTTGGGTCACTTGAATCGTGTCACGATAAAAATGTGGCTGAATGGGGGGCTGTACCATTGCAGAGAAGCTAATGACACGTGCTCCTATCCAGGGTCTCCCAGCTTCAGAGACCGTGTCCTTACCCGCCGCCCGCCCGCACCCCACTCGCCGCCACGCCCGCCCGCGCACCCCGCCGCCCCTCTCCGTCTTCCCCGACTTACCTTCCCTTTCCCGGGTTCCCCGGGCTCCGGCGCAGCCGCCATGGGGACTGTCAGCGCCGCTGCCCCGCCCCGCCGCCGACGGCCGCCGTGGGCGGACGCCCCACCCCGCCCCGCGCCTGCGTCCTCGCTGTCCGCCATTTTAGGGAACGTTTCCCAGTCTTCTAGGCGGCAACACCGGCTGTGCCGGTAGCTTCGGGTGCGGCCGCCATTTCCTTTGTTCAATTGAACGGATCACGTCTTCTCCACCGGGGCTTTCCCCAGGTCGAAGGCTTGGAGAAGAGAAGGAGAAGGAGGGCTAGGGGAGCAACCATGCACCCGCGCTCTTGGCACTCGAGGCTGCGCCTTTTCCCGCCCCCGCCCCTTTTCCGTCTCCAACCGCCATTTCTAACCGTCGTCCGCGCGCGTGCTCTCGCTCGCGTGCTCGGACGCCGGGCGCGTGCGGCGGGGGCGGGCGGGGCCGCGCGGAGGAGCCGTGCGCGCCGCCGCCGCTTTGTCCTGCGAACGGGAACCCCCACCCCCCCAGCGCACGGCCCGGAAGTCGGCCCGTCCTGGCGTGCGGCCCGCGTCCCCTTGATGTCCTTTGTCCTCCCGCCCCGGGACGAGCCCTGGGCACCCCTGGCAGCTCCACCCAGACTTGGCCTCCAGCAAAGTGTGGTCTCGCGCCCACATCGCCTCCTCTCTCGTTTTGGTTTAATCAGGGATTTGCTTTAAAATAGCGCCGCTCCTTTCGCTTGAAGGAGACTGGGGACAAAATGGAGGGAGCACCTCGTCAGTGAGGATGCGTCAAGACGTTTGTGCCCGGCGTGCAGGAGGGGGAAGGCGGGCGGGGTGAAGTGGGAAAAGGCCTGCGACACGCATTTTTGAATGTTAGGTAGTGTTCAACCTGTACCACTCCCTAAGACTGCGACTAAACCTGAAATCTGCATTTTAGCGGCTGCAGTCGTCTGATGCGAGATAGGGCTTGCCCACTTCCTCGGCGTTCTAAATAAGTACAATGCAAATCCTTTTCCCGTATTTTTTCCTATGCACCGTAAGGAAAATGTCCTTAACAAAAACCATGGCTCTTTTATCTATATATATATATTTCAAAATATATTCCTGGGGATATGTTCAAGCTTTCGCGTGTATGTTATTATTGTGCATAGTCATGCTGCAGTGCACAGAGTAAATGCTGCATAAGTTTCGCGGTGATTGTTTGCTATCATCTGTCTGTCGAGCGTTTTCTTACTCTTTACACTTTAGTGGTCCTTTAATACCTTTCTACAATCCCAGTAAAACACTTAGTTTATGACGCGTGTGTGTGTGTGTGTGTGTGTGTGTGTGTGTGTGTGTGTGTGTGTTTTAAATAAGTAACTTCGGGAGAGATTAAGCTGCTTTAACATACTGCTCTAATATTAGTTAAGAAATAGAATAAATGTCACCCTGCCCATGATAGCCTGCCAGTTTGGGGTTCTGAGCTGAAAATCTTTGCTAACTATGCTTTGAAATCTTGGTCTGAAAGGTAGTATTTAAGGCAGTAACAGTCCATTAAAAGTGGAGAAATAGCAAACCACTCCAGTATTCTTGCCTGGAGAACTCCATAGACAGAGGCGCGGAGGGCTATATTCCATGGGGTCGCAAAGAGTAGGACACTTCTGAGCGACTAACACACACAGTCCATAAAGGAGTGAGGAATTCTTTTGAAGTAATTCATTGTTGTGTCCTAAAGGAAGGAGAACTGGAAAAGTACCAGAGCCATCCTATTTTATTTTTTATTGTGACTTCGAAAAATTGCTAGGGTAAAATTACGGTGCTTTTCATTTATCTCTGCAGTATTTTCATACATTATTTCTTTATATGAAATTTTTAAATTTCACAAATGACAATACATGTTTTTTTAATTTTCATATAAAGTGAAAAGTAAAAGTCTTTTTTTCACTTTCTCCCCTTTTTTCTCCCCTGTTTAAGGTAAACACAAGTAACAGTTTAATACATTTCTTTCCAAAGTGTTTTCTTTTTTCTTGTTAATTAAAACCACCCTGGAATATAGGGTAAAAAGTAAAAGTCTCTCTATATCAGACCTACCTTCATACTTGTGTGTTTGTATATGGTACACACACACACTTATGTAAATGTCTGTGCTGTGTGCTTTACATAATTTTAGCATTTAATACTATGCATTGAAAATTTTTTCATGTAAGCATCTATGGACTTACTCATTTATTTTAAAGGCTGCTGAGCAATCCTTTAATTAGTTTCCTTGTGATTCACCTAGCCTTCCAGTACTGTTGCCAGTTTACATTCCCCATTAACAGTGGATGAGGAGTGCTTGTGTCCTCACAACATTTATTTATTCATATTTTTAAAATTTTGGCTGGCCTGGATCTGCCTCATGGCTTGGGCTCCTCTAGTTGCAAACTGCAGGCTTCATTACCCTGGGGTGTGTAGGATGGTATTTTCCCATCCAGGAGTCAAACCCCCGTACCCTGCATTGGAAGGTGGTTTCTTAACCCCTGGACCACTGGGAAAGCTATCCTCACATTTCTAACACTGCGTATTATCATATTTGAAATTTTTTGTCTATCTGATGAGTGAAATGTGTTTTTTTAAAAAAATATTTATTTATTTATTTTTGTCTGTGGTGGGTCTTTGTTGCTGCAAGAGGGATTTCTCTAGTTTCCTCAAGCAGGGGCTCCTCATTGTGGTTCTTCGGCTTTTCACTGCAGTGGCTTTTCTTGTTGTGGAACCTAAGCTCAGTAGTGTGGCCCCCCCAGCCTTGGTTGCTCCAAGGCATGTGGGATCTTCCCAGACCAGGGATCAAACTGGTATCACAATAGCTTACATTGCAAGTCGGAGTCTTAACCACTGGACCACCAAAGAAGCTGGAAAAATGGTGTCCTAATTGCTTTAAACTTTCCTGATTACTAGTATGGTTGAATATTCTTTCAAATGTTTATTGGTCATTCTTTTCCCAAAAATCTGTTTGTCAATTTTTTATGGATTGACATTTGTGGACCATTTTTTATGGACCATTCTTTTCTAAATTTATCTATTTTTATGGATTTTTTAACTTTTAATTTATTATTATTAGAGTCCAATATGCCAGTGCTTTTTTTTATGGCTTTTGATCTTGTGTCTTCCTGACCTCTTTCGTCTTGCTTGTGTTTTGCTTAAGACCTTCTTGACTCCCATCTAAAAAAAAAAATTCTCATAATTTTGAAAATCGCATGCTCTCTCATTAATAATTTTGGTTATATCTTTTCTTGTTTCTTAACAGATCAACTTTTGGTATTATTGACCAAAGCAAGTTTGTAAATTTCATTTTATATTTTACACTTTTTCTTCTACTAATGTGGTATCTATTTTGAGGTCTTTTGTCTAACTTTTTGAATTGACTGCTTAAGTTCATGTATTCTCCATCTTTCTTGGTTTCTGACAAATGTATTCCAGGCTATAGAATTTCCTCTGAGAATCATTTTATCATATGTTGTCAACAGAGTTGACAGGTAATGTTTCTATGACCATTCTTTTCTAAATTTTCTATACTTTCAGATTTTCTTTCTTTCCAAGTGCATATATTTGGATATGCTTTTGGTATTAAATTTTAGGTGGTCCATGTAGTTCTACTTTGGGGGAACTTCGGGGGGATTTTTCAATTTTTGTGTATATGTGTGTATTACCTAAGAGATCATTTTGTACATGTTCCATAGGCTTTTGAAAAGAATATGCATTCTCTACCTTAGCATTGTTAAGCTTATTTATTATAATAGTAAAATGTATACACTATAACGTATATAAAATGTTTATATGATAATAGCATTAAACTTCTTATTTGCCATTCAGCCATCTATTTGTATGGTAAGAGTTATTTCATTGCAGGCAACAGACTGACTGTAGTTAGCTTAAAATAAGAAAAGAAATTTATTGGGAAGATGTGGCGAAGTTCACTGAATTGATAAAAAGTTGGAGTCCGGTCTTGAAGGACAGCATCCAGGATGGCTCCGGGGGTTGTGATACAGGAACTAAAGGAATGACTTTCTAGGTGACAGTGACATCCTGTTCATTCTTACTTTTACTACTGTGCTTTGCTTCTCAACCGTGCTATGGGTAAGACTCTCTTGTTTGTCTGGTCATGGATGCAGATGTCCTGAATGCAGCGGTGGTTTAGCATAGTGGGGCCAGAAGAACTCTCCTTTAAGGGTTCCTTCCCTCACTCGGTGGCTGTCAGTCCCCTGGCACACTGCCTAGAGTGCCTGCTTTCATTCTCTCATCTAGGAGAGAGTGTTTGGAGTCAGTAATCCCATGCTAGACCTGTAGTTATCTGTAGGCAGCGGGAGGGGGAGGGCTGAAATGGCGACATCATTTTAGGGATTGGGTTGGGTTGTGCTGGCAAACTTGCTTTTTGAGGTTCTCTCTTAAGCTTGTGTGGGGTCATTTTGTAATCAGGAATGTTGTGTTTAATAATGAGTTTGATCCCAACTCTGTATCATTGGGAAGTTCCTAACTGTCCTGGTCTACTGATGGTACAATCTCCTGTCTTTCCAAAGGAAGTATCAATTTATTTTTATTTTTACATTGCTTTTTTCATTTCAGTGAGTTTTGGAGAAAGGGGTGGTAAAAAGAAAACTGGGTTCAGTCAACCCTCTGTAACCAGCAGTCTGAATTTCCCTGCTCTTCTACCCTGTTTGTGTGTGTCTATATGTGAGCATGTGCTTCAACTCAATGGTACTGTAGCACCTGATAGGAAAACCAGCTGTTTTCCACCACATTTCTCTCCGTTCTGGAGTTCTGTACCCCACAGGCAATGACTTTTACCTCTTTTGGCTCTTTCTTCTGGTAGTTTACTTTTGTATTTCTACGTAAAAATACTCATTCTCCTATTTCTTAATTTTTCAATTGTAGGCATTATCTATTGATAATAAAAATTTACCCTTCTTTTCTACTCCTTTCCCCTTTCCTCATCCTCTCAATATGGTTGTGTTGCATTTCCAAAAACTAAATAAGCATTCAGTATGTACATTATTATGGCAATGCAAATGGTCATAGCTGAATCATGTGGGATACTATGATTTCATTTATTTTCTTGTAAAATTTTTAATTTTTCCTGGAGTTAATAATTGCTGTGATTTTTTGCTTAATTTTGTTGAAACTAGCTCTTGTTGATCCTTTTCTTTTTCATAAGAGATTATCTAAAATTTAGCATATAATATTCATTTGGCTGATGGGACATTTGGCTCTTGGGACAATTGCATATTACATGCTCTTCCCTACAGCCCCCTTTACTGGTTGTTAAGTGTCAATTATCCACACCTCTTGCCAACTCTTTGTTCAGTGACTTCATTCTGGTTACTTGAATTTTGCTATAGTGGAGTATTTATGCCACAGAAGTCAACAAGTGCTACACGTCAGAGCTTCTTTCTTTTTTTTCTACCTTCCCCCTTCTCAAACAGGTAGTTTATCAATATACCACTGAATGCACCTCTCATTAATTTTTCTCTCAAAATTCTTCTAAAGAGTTGTAAAAATCTCCACAATATAGTAAAAAATGTTGTATATCTGCATGTCATTTTATTTTAAAAGACATCTCTTCTGGAACTTGTCTCCTGTTGGTCCAGTCTATAATGGTAGCTTGCTAAGACTGATTCCCAGCTACCATCCTGGGGGTTCTCATCATCTCATACCTACTTGGA